GACACGGGGGGTGGCACGGAGCCGGGGGGATGGACAGGCACGGTGGTGGCAGCGGGACGGGCACGGGGACAGTGGGACAGGCACTGTGACAGTGGAACCGGCACGGGGGACAGGGTGGGACGAGCGCGGGGACAGTGGGACTGGGACGAGCACGGGGGACAGGGCGGGATGGGCACAGTGGCGGTGGGACAGGCACGGTGGCGGTGCCACACGGCAGGGCCCCACGTGCGGTGACGGTGACACGCGTGTCACCCCTGGTGCAGCACCTGCGAGAACGGGACCCTGACCTGCCCAGAGCTGGCGTGTCCCTCCCCGGGGCCCGCGACGCCAGCCGTCCCCACGTCCCCCTGGTCCTCCCTATCCCCCCTGTCCCCTGCGTCCTCCTTGTCCCCCCTGTCCCCCGCACACCCCGGCCGGTGCCGTTCCCGATGCCATTCCCGGTGCCGTTCCCGGTGCGTTCCCAGTGCCGTTCCCGGTGGCCCCAAGCTGCCCCCCGGGCGAGGTATGGCTGGACCCCGGCCCCGCCTGCGAGCGCAGCTGCCAGGACCTGGCGGAGCCCCCCGGGACCTGCGGGGGGACCCCTGCGACCCTCGGTACCTCCGGGACCCCCGGGACCCCCGTGACTCCGGGCAGCTCCAGCACCCCCGGGATGCCCGCGGCCCCCACGACCCCCGGCACTCTCGGGACCCCCTCGCCCCCCCCGCGCTGCGCCTGCGCCCCCGGCCGGTACCGGAACGGCTCCGGGCACTGCGTGAGCGCGGGGGACTGCGGCTGCCGGCACCGCGGGGCGCTGCGAGCGGTGAGCAGGGCGGGGGGCCAGGGGGGGTCCCTGACCCCCTGGGGGTCCCTGACCATTGTTCGGGGTCCGTGCCCCCCTGCAGGCCGGCAGCGAGTGGCAGGAGCCGTGCGGGACCTGTCGCTGCTCCGAGGGACGCGTCACCTGCGCCACCTCCTGCCCCGCGCTCACCTGCCCGGAGGTGCGGGGCTCCGGGGGGCTCCGGGGGGCTCCGGGGGGCGCGGGGGGTCCCCGCGAGCAGGGGCTGAGCCTGGGGGTCCCCGCAGGGCGCGGAGCCGGTGCGGGAGCCCGGGAGCTGCTGCCCCGTGTGCCGGGACGAGTGGCCAGGTGAGACCCCGCACACGGGGCCCGGGGAGGGGCGGCCCCGGCAGCCCGCCGGTGACGCCGTGTCCCCCCCCGGTGCAGAGGAGCCCCCCGGGCCGTGCCGGCTCCTCACGGCGCTGCGGACCATCGCCAAGGGCGCGTGTGTCCTGCGGGGCGTCCGTGTCACCTACTGCGCGGGGGCGTGCCGCTCCCGCACCGCCGTCAGCGCCCAGGTACGGGGGGCGCGGGGGGACCCCAGCCCCGCCTGCTGCCCCCGGAGCCGCCTCTGCACGGCCCGGGGCTCTCCGTGGCTGTCCGGGGCTGTCAGGGTATCCGGGGCTGGCCGGGGCTCTCCGTGGCTGTCCGGGGCTGTCCGGTGTGTCTGGGATGTCCGGGGCTATCCGGCTGTAGGGGTGTCCGGGGCTGGCGGGGCTGTCCGGTGTCCGGGGCTCTCCGTGCTCTCCGGGGCTTTCCGTGGCTGTCCGGTGTGTCTGGGAATCTCCGGTGTGTCCGGGACTCTCCGGTGTGTCCGGGACGCTCCGGTGTGTCCGGGCTGTCCGGTCTCTCCGGTGTGTCTGGGCTGTCCGGTGTGTCCGGGGCTCTCCGGTGTGTCCGTGGCTCTCCGGGCTGTCCCGGGCTGTCCGGTGTGTCCGGGGCTCTCCGGTCTCTCCGGTGTGTCCGGGGCTCTCCGGGGCTCCCCGGGCTGTCCCCGCCGCCGTGACCCGCTGTCCGCAGGAGCCGTTCGTGCGGTCGCTGTGCGAGTGCTGCAGTTACCGGCTGGATCCCGCCCGGCCCGTGCGGGCGCTGCTCCTGCCGTGCCCCCGCGGCCGCCCCCGGCCCGCGCTGCTGCCCCGCATCGCCGAGTGCCGCTGCGAGCCCTGCCGGGGTGCGGGCCCGGGGGGAGCGGGGGGCCTGCCGGGGGTCCGAGGGTTCGGGGAACCTACGGGGGCTCGGGGAGCGCGGGGACTGCTGGGGACGGGGTGGGGGAATGCTGGGGACAGGGGTGGCAGTGCTGGGGACAGGGGTGGGACTGCTGGGGACACACCTGGGAGTGCTGGGGACGGGGGGGGGAATGCTGAGGACACACCTGGGAGTGCTGGGGACAGGGGATGGCAGTGCTGGGGACAGGGCTGGCAGTGCTGGGGACACACCTGGGAGTGCTGGGGACAGGGCTGCAGTGGCTGCTGTGCCCTGCTCTGTACCTGAGTGCTCAGGGCACACCTGGGGCACAGGCTGGCAGTGCCCAGGTCACTCCAGAGGGTTCAGGGCACACCTGGGGCACAGGCTGGCAGTGCCCAGGTCACTCCAGGGGGTTCAGGGCACACCTGGGGCACAGGCTGGCAGTGCCCAGGTCACTCCAGAGTGCTCAGGGCACACCTGGGAGGTGGCACAGGTAGAGGAGCAGTGTCCCAAATCCACAGTGGCTGCCCCTGTCCCACATCTGCCCCACAGCTGTCCCGGGTGTGAAACACTGCTGGTGGCCCTGTGTCACACCTGGCCCTGTGTCCCCATCCCCTGCAGATCTCTCAGGTGTGGAACACGCCTGTTGTCCCCGTGTCACACCTGTCCCCATGTCCCTGTCCCCTGCAGATCTCTCAGGTGTGGAACACTCTGGTCTCACACCTGTCCCTGTGTTACACGTGTCCCCATGTCACATCTGTCCCTGTAGATGTCGCAGGTGTAGAACACTCCCCATGTCACCCTGTCCCCGTGTCACACGTGTCCCCATGTCCCCGCAGATGTCTCAGGTGTAGAACACTCTGTGTCACCCTGTCCCCATGTCACACGTGTCCCTGTCCCTGCAGATCTCTCAGGTGTAGAACACTCCCCGTGTCACCCTGTCCCCGTGTCACCCTGTCCCCGTGTCACACGTGTCCCTGTCCTCACAGATCTCTCAGGTGTAGAACACTCCCTGTGTCACCCTGTTCCCACGTCACACGTGTCACACCTGTCCCCGTGTCCCTGCAGATCTCTCAGGTGTGGAACACTCCCCGTGTCACACTGTCCCTGTCCCTGTGTCCCTGTCCCCGCAGATGTCTCAGGTGTGGAACACTCTGTGTCACCCTGTCCCCGTGTCACACGTGTCCCTGTCCCCGCAGATCTCTCAGGTGTAGAACACTCCCCGTGTCACCCTGTCCCCGTGTCACACCTGTCCCCATGTCCCCGCAGATCTCTCAGGTCAGGTGTGGAACACGGCGCTGCTGCAGCTGCTGCGCAGCCTGCCGGCGCTGGGGCTGCCGCGGGGCGGGCGCCAGGCGCGCTCGGTGGAGCAGGAGGTGCTGTGGCGGCTGCGGCGCCTGCCCCTGCGGCAGCTGGTGCAGCTGGCCGAGCAGCTGGCGGGGCAGGGCCTCGAGGGGCCGCTGCTGCCCGAGGTGCTGCGCAAGCTGGAGCTGCGCTGGACCGAGCTGGACGGGCCCCGCGCCGTGGTGACGCTCATGGCCAAGGTGGGACACCTGTCCCCCGCCCTGATGGAGCGCCTGGAGGACAAGGTGGGCCCGGGCACGGCGCGGGGCGTGGCCCTGGGGGGGACCCGGGGCGGGGTCACCTGGGGTCAGCACTGCCACCTGGGGACACCTGCACCGCCTGTCCTCTGTCTCCGCTCTGCCAAGTGTCCACCTGTCCCTGTGTCACCTGTGCTGCCTCACCTGTCCCTGGCTCACCTGTCCCTGTCCCCATGCAAGGCGCTGGCACCGGGGAGCAGTTTGATTCCTGTAACTGTCTCGCCTGTCCCCATGTCCCTGTCCTCTCTCCCTCCTGTCCCCTGTGTCTCTGTCCCTGTGCCAGGTGCTGGAGCTGGCAGAGCAGTTTGATTCCTGTCCCTGTGTCACCTCTCCTGCCTCACCTGTCGCTGTCCCCGCAGGCTCTGGAGCTGGCAGAGCAGTTTGACCCTGACGAGCTGCGCCGCGTGGCGCTGGCGCTGGCGCTGCAGCAGCGCCGCTGCGTGCCCCTGCTGCGGGCCCTGTCCTACCACCTGCTGCAGAAACCTGCTGAGCTGCCCCTGCCCGTGCTCACCGACCTGCTCTTCGCCTTCAGTGAGTGCCAGGGCCACCTGCGGGGGCTGGGGACAGGCCTGCTGGGGACAGCCCCTGTCCCGGGGCTGGCAGTGGGTGGGGGGCCAGGTGAGCTTAGGGATCCCAAAGCTGTCCTCTCAGCCAGGTGGGGTGAGGGAATGCAGGTGACCTTAGGGGTCCCAAAGCTGTCCTCTCAGCCAGGTGGGGTGAGGGAATCCAGGTGAGCTTAGGGGTCCCAAAGCTGTCCTCTCAGCCAGGTGGGGTGAGGGAATGCAGGTGGGCCCGAGAGCTGTTCCCCAGTGGGTTATCCCAGTGCTGGCAGGGAACAGGGGCTGGGCATTGTGGGTCAGCTCTGTGCTCCACGTATGAACCCAGGTCATCATTCTAGGGGTCCTGTCACTGCAGGTGTCCCCAGCCCCTGGGAGCTCAGCGTGAGGCCATTCCACACCCTGGGTGTGCCCAGTCCCTCCCCAGCTCACCTGGAGCCCCTTTGGGCACTGGGGGGGCTCTGAGGTGTCCCTGGAGCCTCTCCTCTCCAGGTGACCGTTCCCAGCTGTCACCTGTGGCGCGGGGGGCGCAGGACAGAGGTGCTCAGAGCCCCCTGTGCTGAGCTGTCCCCCTTGGCACAGGCAAGCTGAGCTTCCAGCAGCCGCAGGTGCTGCACCGCCTGGCCCTGGAGCTGCAGCCTCACGTGGGCAGCCTGAGCCCGGCGCAGGTGCTGCGCTGTGCCCGCTCCTTCGCCAGCCTGCGCTGGCTCAGCCGGCCCCTCGCCGAGGCCATCGCTCAGGTGAGCCCGGGGGGACGAGGGGGGACCTCACCTGGCCCGGGGGGAGCCAGGGGACACTCACCTGTGCGGGGGTGTTGTCACCTTTCCCAGCAGGAGCCGGGCAGAGCGGGTTCCTCTCACTGGTCCGGGCTGTTGTCACCTGGGAGCAGGTGGCAGTGAGGGTCGCTCCCTGTCCAAGCTGTGTCACATTCCCTGTGGGAATCAGGGATCGTTTCCTGCTGGGTTTTCCTCCATGCAGACCCTCCAGCTGTGACTGCTGGTGCTGGTTCTGTCCCAGTTCTGTCCCAGTTCTGTCCCAATTCACCTCCGTGCACGTCCCCGTGCAGGCTGGAACATTCCAGGCCTGCCCTTGTGTCTGGATATGATCCCAGGGATCCCCCAGCCCTGGTGTCCCCCCAGCACGGTCCCTGCTGATGTTTCCAGGCTTTTCCTTGCTGCTCCTCTCCCAGCTTCCTGCCACTTCTGCCCCAGTTCCTGCCAGGTTCATCCCCCTGCCCCTTCCCATCCACACTGCGGCATTCCAGAGCTTGCCCTCGTACCTGAGAGAGTCCCAGGCGTCCCCCACTCTGGTTTTCCCCCCGGGAGGTGTCTCTGGCTGACTGTTCCACCCTCTCCCTCCCGTCCCCGCTGTGCACAGCCCCACGTTCCCGTTTTCCCTGCAGCACTGCCTGGATAACACGCAGAGCCTGTCCCTCACCCAGCTCTGCGGGGTCCTCGTGTCCTTCGCCCGCCTCAACTTCCAGCCCAGCTCCAGCGAGGAGTTCTTCTCCATGGTGAGGTCCTGGGATTCCCCCGTGGTCGGGGTGGGGAGGGACCTCAGAGACCCCCCAGCTACAGATCCTTGCCCCAAAGCCTCCCAAACTCCATTTTCCCACGTCCTGGCACTCCATGTGTCCCAAATCCCTCCCAGCCCCCTCCAGGTGACCCCCCGGCTGTCACCTGTCCCGGAGCACAGGTGCTCCCCTGGCACGTTCCCATGGGAAAGGGGCTGTTGGGTGGCTGACCCCCTGGGGCAGGAGGGTCCCCGGGCGGGGCTGGGGACAGCTGGTGGCTGAGCGGGGCTGCGGCGTTCCCTTCCCCGCGCAGATCCACGAGCGGCTGCAGGGGCAGGAGCAGCAGCTGGACGTGCACCTGCTGACGGACGTGGTGTGGTCCCTGTGCGTCCTGCAGCAGCCCCGGGCCCCCCACCTGCTCCAGGTGCTGTGCCCCGAGTTCCAGGCGCGGCTGCGAGGTGAGCTGGCACAGCGGGGTGGCCTGCCCCGTGCGGGGACCCAGGGCTGAGGCAGGAGCTCGGGGGGAGCGGCTGGGGGTCACCTGTCCCCACGTGCTGCTGGCACCTGCAGCCCAGTCAAATTCGGTCCCTGTCCCCCCATGGCGGGGACCGGCCACCGGCTGCCACAGTGACCTCCGTGGCCACGAGCCCCGTGTCCCCTCCCGTGGGACCGGGGGGCCAGTTCCACTGGAGACACGGAGCCTGGGAATGCCTGGGGCTGGGGGGCTTCTCGGGGGCTGGGGGGCTTCTCGGGGGCTGAGTTCACCTGGCGGTACAGGCTGTGTCACAGCTGTCACAGCCCCGTGGCCGTTGAACCCAGCGGGGCTGCACAGCCCTTTCCAGGAGGAAAAGGGATTCCAGGGATTCCCCAGATGCCACCTGGGCATCCCCCGGCACTGCCTGGCACCATTCCCCTGGCCCTTGGTGCCATCTGAGCCCGGCGCCGCCTGGCTCAGGCCCTGGGGACACGGCCCCTGTGCCAGGTGCCACATCCAGCCTGGGGCTGCACGGCCCTTTCCGTGGGGGACACTCCCATTGTCACCTGAGCCTTCCCTGGCGCGGCGGGGGCCGTTGCTGTGTCCGTGGGTGTCACCTGAGCGTGTCCCCGCCCGTCCCGCAGGTGACAGCTCCCCGCGGGCGCAGAGCTCGTGGCTGAAGCTGCTGCACATCAACGCGACGGCCAGGCTGGAGACCCCGGGCTACGAGGGGCCCTTCCTGCCCCCCGAGCTGCTGGGGGGGCGCAGGGACAGGGACAAGGACAAGGACAAGGCCACCCCCCTGCAGCGGGGGCTGCGGGAGGCGCTGCCGGGGGCACTGGGGGGCGACGACCTCGTCCGGTACAACGTGAGCACAGTGTACGGCTGGGACATCGGTGAGTGCCCCCCGCTGCCAGCCCGGGGCCTGGCACCTGCCTGGCACCTTCCAGTGCCACCCCGGGGCTGCCACCCACCCTGGGCACCTTCCAGTGCCACCCCTCAGCCCTGCCGCCTGCCTGGGCACCCCTGGCCCTGGCACCCCCACCCCTGCTGCCTTCCCCTGTGACCCCAGTCCCCCCAGCCCTGTCACCCCCCAGCCCTGTCACCCCGTTACCTTCCTGTGTCACCCCGCAGCCCTGTCACTTTCCCCTGTCACCCTCCAGCCCACCCCAGCCCTGTCACCTTTCCCTGTCACCCTGCAGCCCTCCTGGCTCTGCCACACCCCTGCCACCCCCTGTCACCCTCTTGCAGCCCAGTCAAATTCGGTCCCTGTCCCCCAGTGTCGGGGACCGGCCACCGGCTGCCACAGCAACTCCGTGTCCCGCGTGTCCCCTGTCCCCTCCCGTGGGACCCGGGGAGGCGGACCCCACGGACACTGCCCTGCCTGGGGTGGGGTCAGCAGAGCCCCTGGGTGGCTCTGAGTCCCCTGTCCCCTCTGTCCCTGCAGATGCCGAGGCGGTGCTGGACAGTGACAACAAACCTCTGCCCGTGAGGGACTTCACTGCCCCCCACTTGTCCCACTCTGAGGGGACAAAGCCACTGCCACCGGGGGCCAGGAGGTGGGTGGGGACAGGAGGGGCTCCCGAGGGGGGGCAGGGGGAGACAGTAGAGGGGAGGAAGAGGAGGGGATGAGGAGGGGGAATGGGAAGGGTCAGTGGGGGAGAGGGGGACAGGGAGGGGACATGGGACAGGAGGTGCCGGGAGGGGCTCAGCTCAGGGCCGGCTCCGTGGCTCGGGGTGCTCAGTGTCCCTGTCCCTGTCCCCAGGGTGGCCGTGCTGCGCTGGGAGCTGCCGCAGTTCAGCTCGCGGGGCCGGGAGCTGCTGGGCCGGGGCTCGCTGGCCCGCAGGCACCTGAGAGCGGCGGGCTTCCTGCTGGCCGAGGTGAGAGGGACACGCTGGGGACACCCTGTGTCTGCGTGAGGGACAGGGCTGGGGACACCGGGCACCTGGCAGTGTCTGCGTGAGCAGGGACAGGGCTGGGGACACCGGGCACCTGGCAGTGCCTGTGTGTGCCCAGCACTGCCAGTGTCACCGCTGGCCCTGCCCCAGGTGACACATCTGCCTGGCACTTGAACCCTCCCAGCCCCCTCCAGGAGAAATATTCCCAGAATGTTCCCCAGGTGTTCCCAGGTGTTCCCAGGTGCCACCTGAACCTCCCTGGTGGCAGCACTGGGGACACTGGGCACCTGGCAGTGTCTGCGTGAGGGACACGATGGGGACACCGGGCAACTGGCAGTGCCTGTGTGAGGGACAGGGCTGGGGACACCGGGCACCTGGCAGTGTCTGTGTGTGCCCAGCACTGCCAGTGTCACCGCTGGCCCTGCCCCAGGTGACACATCTGCCTGGCACTTGAACCCTCCCAGCCCCCTCCAGGAGAAATATTCCCAGAATGTTCCCCAGGTGTTCCCAGGTGTTCCCAGGTGCCACCTGAACCTCCCTGGTGGCAGCAGAGCCCAGCCCCCATCCTGTGAGGTGCCCCCAGGACTCAGGTGTGGCCTCACCTGTGCCCAGCCCAGGGGACGGTCCCTGTGCCCATGGCCACCCTGGTGACACCAGCTGGGTGCCATTGTCCCCCTAGCACACCTGGGCACAGCTGGCACCATGGGGATGGAGGCTCTGACACCCCCTGGGGGCTGCCAGCTCCCCCCAGCCTGGGGCTCAGCAGGGATGAGCCACCATGATCCCCCGGGCCACCTGCCAGGTGCTGGGGGGGACAGGGGTGACAGGGAGGTGACACAGACGAGCTGATCCTGTGGGGTCATCCAGGATTAACCCCTGGGGGTAATTATAGCCCGGGGGGAGTGTGACAGCCACGTGTCACCCCCAGGGTCACTGCAGCCCCTGCTCTATTGTCACTCCCCTGGCAGTGCCACTGTCACACCTGGGGGGTGGTGGCACGTCCCAGGGTGGGCACTGGGACCCCAGATCGGTGCTGAGACCCTCTCGGGAGGGTGCCATGGCATGGGCAGGACAGGAGGGGACACAGCTGCCACACCCCTGTCCCCTGCAGGTGCCCCACTACGAGTTCCTGGAGCTGAAGCTGGAGCGGCAGCGCGTGGCCTACCTGAAGGACAAGGTGGCCAAGGCCCTGGCCAGTGACACGGCCGGTGACACGGCCGGTGACACGGCCACCTAACCCTGTGTGGCCTCCTCACCTCGTCAGTGGCCCTGTGCCAGCGTGAGCGGGTCACCGTGCCGAGGTGGCCCAGCGGCTGAGCCCCGGTGGCCGCGTCACCGCAGCGGGGTGGCCGCGTCACCAGGCCACCGTGCCCACAGCGAGGTCCCCGTGTCCCCATGTGACTGCTGCTCCCTGTCACCAACAGCTCAAATAAACCCACAACTGTACAGGGATGGCGGCTGGGCGTGGTGGCATTGGGGTGGTGACACTGGGGATGGGAACATTGGGGACAGTGTCATTTGGGACATTGGGGATGTCATTTGGGACATTGGGACATTGGGAATGGGTGTCGTGGGGGACTTCGGGTCAGTGGGGGTGGGTGGCATTGGAGACACGTGACATTGAGGACGGTTGCCATCAGTGCCAGGTGCAATTGGAGCTGGGTGACATCAGTGCCAGGTGTCATTGGGACCAGGTGACATCAGGGCTAGTTGACAACATGGCCAGGTGACATTGGGACTGGGTGACATTGGGGCTCAGTGACACTGGTGACATGGGAGCCAAGTGACATCCGTGGTGGTTGGCATTGGAGTTGAGTGACATTGGGGCGGGGTGACATTGGAGCTGGGTGATAGCAAGGACAGGTGACATTGGGAATGGGTGACATTGGGGCCGGGTGACATTGGGGCCTGTTGATAGCAGGGACAGGTGACACTGGGAGTGGGTGACAGGGGGCTGGGTGACATCAGGGTGGGGTGACAGTGCTTGGGTGGCAGTGGGGTCAGTGCCATCAGTGTCGGTGGCACGTGGCTGTGTCCCCAGCCCTGTGCCCGGGGCCGCCGGTCTGAGCCGGGATCGGCGTCAGGAGCCAGCGGCCTTGATTCCCGATTATCCCGGGATTGTCCCGGGATTGTCCCCGAGGGGACGGGGACAGGGCCGGGGGCTGGCTGCGGGCTGGGCTGGGGGTGGCCAGCGGGGACAATCTGGGGTCTGGGGGCGTCTCTGAGCGGGGGGGTCACATCCCGGCCGCAGCCCCCGCCGTGTCCCCGCACGGGGCAGGGGACAGAGTGGCTCAGGACAGCCCTGGGGGTGACACAATGGGGACAGATTAGCGCCCGCCTGGCGCCAGGACCCCTCCGGCCCCCCGGGAAGGGGACGCGGGCCGGCTGGGGGGGACACACGGGGATGGGGGGACACGCGGGGAT